AGTTAGATGTCCATGTGTGCCTTATATTTAAGTGCGGATGTTAAGTAGAAAGTTGTATATACAAACTGGAGTTTAGGAGAGAAATTAGGGCTGAATATGTAAATATCAAAGCATAAACATATAGACACTACTCCAGACCCTGGAATTGGATAAAATTACCAAGGAGTTAAGCATATAGTGAGGAGAAAGTCTCTAAGACCTGAACCCTTAGAGTTGGGAAAATGAAGCAAAGCCAGCAAAGAGTGATAATAAGATGCTTCTGAGTATGCCAGTTTAGAAGATGGGACACCTGGTGAGATTGTTAATTAAGAATGTAAGAGGAGAAGCATATTCTTGCAGAGCATAGTGAATCAACTCATATATATATATATGTTCAGTTTGAGGTGCCTTTGATCCATCCAGATGAGTGCGTCCAGTAAGAAGCTAGGAATATGACTGAAGCTCATGAAAGTGAATGAGACTGGGAATATGAAATTAAAAGTCATATATATAAAATGATAGTCAAAGGCACGGATCAAGTTTTTTGAAGACAACATGTGAAAGCAGGGATAGGACATTGAGTCTCTTGATGTACCATGGTCAGTACTGATGTCTGGAGGACCAATCAGAATTCCATGTCATATGATAGGGATTTAGACTGGAAATTTTTCAGTACCTATTCTAACTCCAGTGCCAACTGGCCATGTGATTTAAGATCCTCATGTATTAATTGGGAATTAAAATAATAATTACTATTAGACATACCTCAGAGAGTTGTTGCAAGAATAAAATGAGATCACGTGTGTGACAGTCCTTTGCAACTTGCACAGAGCTATACAAATGTGAGCTGTTCAGGTTTTTTCTCTCTGGCTTAGGACAGGTTCTGTGGACATATGGAGCTCCCAGGAGGCTTGTGTGGGACTCAGGGAAATGTCCAGCTTAACCTGCGGGGCACTACAATTTTGTTGTTTCAACCCATCTGCTATGGAAAATGAGGAGCCAACAAAAAAGAGAGAAACAGAGGTGAGGGCAACTGATAATGATAGCTTTAAGAAATGAAAGGAGTGGGTACACAGTGTCACATGAGCCCAGAAGTCAATAAAGATGAAAAATCCATTGGACGTGACCAAGAGATTGTTGACGTAATCTGCTGACATAGTAGAGTGTGCCTTGCCTAGCCCGGTGCCTGTTAGCTGGCAGAACTGTGATGCTCTTCTCTCCCAGTATCAATAAAATGGCATGAGATATCCTTGCACCATTCCAAGCTATATCCGGAATCATTCACTTCAACCCCTCCCAACCCGATCCTCACCATCAGAGTTCCTTACCCTTGTAATCAAGTTTTGTTTAAGACCTCATATCATCTCCCTCGAAACCACTGGTCCACATTGTCATTCTGTTATCACCTCTGGCTGACCCTGTCAGGTACCTTTTGAGTGTACCTTCTGCCCTGATTCTTATTTAAGCTGCTTATTAGACACTGATCTCTGAATTCCCTCCTTGATTATAATTTGCCCTCTCTTCCTTTGAATATGTTGCTTCTGTTTACTCCAGGTTAACAGCCTAGACCCCTTCCTTGGAATTTGCCCCAACCAAACCAGTGATTCATAGACTCATCCCTCTAGCAGATGAAACCCAAAGCCACAAACGAGAAAGGCATACACAAACGCATACACAACCCACAGTGTGTTGAGGCAGAGAGGTTGCCTGTAGAAGAAGTGAGTCCGATAGTGCTGGAAGAGCCTGTATTAAAACATAGTGATTATAAACTGGGACCCTGGGATTCAAATCCCAGCTGTACCATGTATTAGTTTGTCCTTGGCCGGGTTATTTAACCTCTCTACCCCTCCATGCCCTCCATTATTTTACCTAGATCCCAATATATTCCAATGCCAAGCATATGGTAGGTATTAGATGTTGAGTAAATGAATGAATGAATACAGATGAAAAAACAAAGGCCCAGAATGATTACATCATACATATCTAGTTAATAGCTAATGAAGAAATCCTCCATATTAAAGAGCAGAGTTATGTGTCATTTCTTAGAGAAATAAAGCTAAAGTATCATCATAATGATGGACTTATTTTATTTAACCAATACTTCCCAGTGCCAGATATGATTCTAAGTGCTTTGCAATTTCCTTGTAAGTTGGGTATGATTATTGTCCCCATTTTACCTATAAGAGAACTGAGGTACAGAGAGGTTACAGAACTCAAGGAATACTGTGATCCTTTTCAAATGGCCTTTTTGAAGTTTACTAACTTTGACTACCATTTTCTCCTTCTCTCTGTTCCTGTTTGTCACAAGGCTCTTTCTCCCTACTTGACCACAGCCATGTCTCTCAGCATTGGGGAGGGTTGTAGGATGCATTCACATAAGACAGTCTGTAATTTTGATTATATTAATACAAAATTCTGTGGCTGCTGAGAACTCTCCTCCTTCCTTCCCACAATGCTGTTCTTAGTAAAGAACGAAGTGTTATTTAAAATTCTGGGAGTACAATCTTATTTTTTCTTAATGTGGCAAACCAGAAACAACTAATATTCCTGGTTTTCTTTCTGCTTCTCACAAAATATATCCCTACTTCGAGGCTTCAGAGAACAAGGACAGCCTGGGGAATTTAGACCTAGGGCATTTAAGATTTTACAAGGTTTGACTACTTCACTATTTGTAAATGGGGTCTGGAGCTGGAGTAAGGGCCAGAAGAACATATAAAGAGAAAGGGGCAAATAAACCACGTAGAAAGCAAACCAAGATATCAAAACAGTTGATCAATCAAATTGCATATTTTTGTGCCCAAGCCTTGTGTCTTCAGTGTTTTGAAATATTGTCACAGAGTACCAAGCATGTCCCAAAGGAGGACCTTAGAAAGAGGGCTTCTGAGCTGGGCTAGCACTAAACTACTTTCAAGTTGACTTTAGAAATATCACATGGTATTTTATAAAACTTTTTATTATTATTCCTTATGAAATTATAATTATTGAGTCAACCACAAATCTTGCACCTTACTTTGGATATATAAGCTAAATACCTTGGATCTGGAGCTACTGCAAACCAGAATCCTGTGGGGCATGGTGTACCAAAAAAGCTTTCAAAGACTAAATTTGCATCGTGTAAATATCCATCCAGCAGAGAGCAGGTAATTTTCTCATTACTCATCGAATGAGTTCCTCAGCATTAGTTACTCTTTGTGTTAGTTCTTTGTAGAAATAACGCACAAGCAGCTTAATCATTTCGGAGCAAATTTTCCATCACCTACCTTCTCTGTGTGGTTCAGACCTTTGAAAACTCTGAGTAACATGAATCTGTTGGTTCCGTATTGGCAAGGATGGCGATTTTGTTTGTTTGTTTGTTTGTTTTTGTTTTGTTTTAATCAAACCATGAGAAAAACTCTAGGGGGAAAATCTCATGATCCTATGCAAAATACATTTAGGACTATCTGGTCATCCTTAGTATACTTGTATTTACCCAATGTTTACATTTCTCAAATTAGACTCTGTTGCCTTTACCAGAGCAAGATGAGGAATCTCTCAAACAGCATCATTTTCAAAACAAGCACAGGGCAATGGAAAACGCTGTCACCCACACAGGATAATCCTGCAGGGCCCATGATATTCTCTGTAATGCCTTGAATCTGTCTGACTCTCTCCTCTTATCTGTCGTTTTTAAAGATGTCAGTGTGGGCAGCCGAAAATTCAGAATACCAAGCTGGTCCTTCCCTTTGACTGCTACATAGCTTTTGCCTGCAGGATAAGTCTCCATTACTGACGTAGTTGCTTTTTAACTTCCTTTTTTTTTAATCTGGAAAATCCCCCGCCTCCTCCATTCCTTCACAAAACTTGCTGCCTGAATGATTTCTAGTCTGAGGGCCATACACTTTTGTTTCTCCTCAATGCAGGGTTTGTTTGGTTTTTGGTTTTTTTTTTCTCTCTCTCTCTCTCTGAACTTGCGCATGCTACTGTTTTTTTAAAGTGTCACATTATGGAAAAAATTCTGACTATAAAGGATTTTGCAGTGCCATTGCATTCATCACCACTTCCCCCACCCTATTCTGGCTTGCTTTATAAGGAAAGTAAGAACGATAATTAGGAGAGTTTTATTGGCAACTGGCTATCTAAGAACTATGCAGATTTTCTTCTTTATTGTATGGAAATCTTAAATGTTTAATGAATATTTAAGTAAACAAATTTCAGCAATATGTCTCATTTTAGAAATCCGGCTTTAATGAAAATTCAAACACTACTTGTTAATTATTATTGCCAACATCAATATGTCAAAATACCCTTTTGGGTCAGGGATCTTTAAGAAACAATGACTCCTACTGATTTCAATTAAAGGCATCCTTTATTAAATTCTTACAGTCCTGCTCCTTCTAAGTCAGTTCCTTTACGACCCTTCTTCCTCCTCCTCCCCCATCGAGTGCAATTAAAAGCCGTATTCTTGCTTAAGCTTGGCTCTCAGGCTGGGGGGGGGGGGGCGTGTGTGTGTGTGTGTGTGTGTGTGTGTGTGTGTTTGTGTGTGTGTATTACGGAGAGGGACGTGTTTGTTACGCTGTTTTTCCGGACCCAGTTCTAAATGATGTCTCCTAAACAAGACAAGGATTTTCCATCGCCTAAAAGAGGCCATCAAGTTTTAACACTGCGAGGCACGACTTCTAATCGTATCCTTCCCGGAAAAGTACAAACAGTTCCTCAGACGAGGTCCCCCACCTCCCACGCGCTCCCTAGCTCGCCCTCCCCGCGGAGAGCCCTGCAACTGCCTCCCCAACACCTGTGAGTCATCCGAGAGGGGCTGCCACCGCGGAACTATTTGCATACCCACTACCGCCCGTCCTCCTTGGGCGCCTCATGCACAACTAGGGATGACACTTAGGATGATTGCTTTATGACTACTGTTTTTAACCTCTAATAAGACCAGCTCACGTAGCCTGTCTCTCCCATGCCCTGATTTGAGCATCAGAGGGCCTCCGCGCCAGCCTTCGCTGGTACCCAGGGTCTGCGTGTGCCCTCCGCACCGCCAGAACCCTGTCGCGTCCCAGCCGTCCTTGAATCCGGAGCCCTCCACCTTCTCCGCGGATGTTTGGGCGGTTCTATCAGGCGGGTACGTGCCTCTGAGGACTATTCCTAAGATACCCGACACAAAACCCCAGGCTGCGACTGCAAATGCAACCGAAAACAGCGTCATCAATGCAGCCCGCGGCCAAACAGCCCCCGACTCCAAGCCCCAGCCCCAGCGAGCCCACGCCGGCGGGCTAGCGGCCGCGCTCCGGGTCCCCAGCCCGTCCCACGTCTCTCCGCGCTAACTGCTCTGACGTACTTTAAAACAACGTGCGCCAGTCTCTCCCCGCGACTGACCACGCTGATGAGAACTCCGAGCCCTCGCCGCTGTTTTGATAAAATGAAGAAATCGCTCGTAAAAATAGCAACCCACGTAGCCAGGCCATATATGGAGCTGGGGAGGGTGGCCAGGGATGCCCCTTCGGACCCTCTTCTTTGGGGAAAACAAATCGCCGCCGAAATCTGCTCCCCCCGCCCCCCCCCGCCAGCTTCTGCTCCTTCTCTGCCTCCCTGCCCTTATGTGACTCAACCAAAGACTCAACTGAGCGGGGGCGGGGAGAAAAAAGATACGCACACGCATATATACACACATATGTATATACACACACACACACAACAAAGAACGTCAAGAAAGCGGTCGCGAGATAAATGTGTTTGCCCAGGACCTTGTGTTAAAATGGAGTCCTAAGAATCGCCCCGTTTGGGTGCCTATAAA